GTTCGTGGTGTGGTGGTTGTGGTGTGTTTGGGTTTGGGTTTTTGTGTGTGTACTCGAACTCCCATGGGGTTTCCCGACCCTCCCCTTTCTTAGCATCAGCCTTGTCCCAAGTTCCTGTAATTGTAACCATTTTTCAAGGCGGAACACAGGATGACTATTTTGTTGCTTTTTCCTGAGAGCCCAATCTCTCTTCTTTTCCTTCCTACCATGAACGGGGAGAACAAACATGATGATGACCTTAAAAATGATTACGGAATGTGGAAAGTAAAACACTAACAGTTTGGAGACCAGAGAAATAATTATATTCTAAGTTCTAAACCTATAAACCCTGAATTAAAAACAACAAAACACACACACACACAAACCCCCAAAAGATGGAGTCCTAGATGGGCATAGTGGGACAAGCCTTTAATCCTGGCACTAGGGAAGCAGAGGCAAGAGGCTCTCTGTGAGTTCCAGGCCAGCCTGGTCTACAGAGGGAGCTCCAGGACAGCTAGGACTACACAGAGACCTTGTATCAAAAACAAACAAAATTGCATTTTTACTGAATGGTTACAGACTTACTGTGGCTACCATTCCCTAAACAGCATAGTGTAACAACTATTTGCATAATATAGATACAACTATGTGTATCATACTTTATATATTTACATAGTATTAGGTACTTTAAATAATCCAGAGATGATAGAAGAAATTCAGGAGGATATGCATGGATTATATATGACAACACTTAATGAAAGGGACTCAACCTAAGATTTGGTATTTGCAAAGAACCTAGAATCAATGCCACACAGACTTGGAGGGATAATTGTATTAGAATGATGGTGATGATAGTTTTTTTTGAAACAAGTCCCTTTATTATATAGCCCTGATTCTGGATTTCGGATATGTAAACTAGACTGTCCTCAAACTCACAGAGCTCCACTTGCCTCTGCCTCCAAAGTGCTTGGATTAAACATGTTTGTCACCACCCCTAGCTGTAATGTTTTAGCTTATCCAAACTATCACTAACCAGGCCAAGGGTGATGGCTCACACCTACAATCTAGATTATCCAAACTATCACTAACCAGGCCAAGGGTGGTGGCTCACACCTACAATCCCGTACTTGGAAGGCTGAAACAGTCTGAACTACAGAGACCCAGTCTCGGGGGGAAAAGGAAAGACTAAATTGTAGCTTAATGTAGATGCTTGTCTAGCATATATGAGCTCTGGATTTGATTCCCAGCAGCATGTAAACTCAGTGTGATAGGCCTTGCCTGTAATCAAAACAGGCCAGTGGAGGCAGAAAGACCAGCTGTTCCTCAGCTACCTAGAAAGTTTGGGACCAGTCTGGGATACAAGAGACTCTGCCTCAAAAACAAACAAACACCGTCCCCCTCATACTATTAGGTACGGTAACACCAGCAAGCACTCAAGAAGATTTCAAGTCCAAGCCTGCCTTTATTATAGAATGAGACAGAGCCAACCTGGGCCAAATAGCAGGATCTCTGTCTTTAGAAAAAGAAATGAATATAGTAGTAACAAAAAATCACATACTGAAGAGATGGTTCAGCTGTTATGAGCATCACCTGCTCTTCTAGAGGACCTGGGTTCAATTCCCAGGCCCACATAGCAGTTACTATTTGTAACACCAGTTGCCGAGGATCTGATGCCGTATTATGGCCTCTGTGGGCACTGCACATATGGTACACAAATAACATGCAGGCAAAACACCCATACACATAAAATAATAAATATCTAAAAATAGTATCAATAATATCGACTCACCAAAGAAAAAATAACATAGCTAAATTCACTGCATGCAGGGAATATTCTACACACTGGGTATATATTTTATCTCATTTAATTCACTTGATAATAAAACTATTGGGTACTTGTTATATTAAGAAGTAGGAACCATATAAAGACATTGCCCTTGCTCCAAGGAGTTCAAAGAACACTACATCCCCAACCCAATAAGAATTAAAAAATAGTAATATGTTATCATTTATTATGCTCTTACTGTGTGTCAGGCACTAGAAATAGAAAAGAACAAATACAGAAGAGTCCTGCCCTTATGGAAATTCCACTCTAGTGGAAGAAGACTAGCTAGACATAATGACACATCCTTTAATCCTAGTACTTGGGAGTTTCAGGCTAGCCTGGCGCATGTAGTGAGTTCCAGGGCAGCTAAAGTTATATAGAGAAACCTTGACTTAAACAAAAACACAAACTAGAAGACAGACTATCAACAAGGGAACAAAGAAGCAGACAGTTATACAGGTGATCAATCTAACTGAGAATATAAGAATGACATGGGAGGCGGGCGTTGGTGGCACACGCCTTTAATCCCAGCACTCGGGAGGCAGAGGCAGGAGGATCTCTGTGAGTCTGAGACCAGCCTGGTCTATAAGAGCTAGTCCCAGGACAGCCTCCAAAGCCACAGAGAAACCCGGTCTCGAAAAACCAAAAAAAAAAAAAAAAAAAAAAAAAAAAAAAAAAAAAAAGGATGACATGGGAATTACCAGGCTGAGGCTTGAGACGAAGGGAAGAGGACATTTCAGCTAAGGTCTGAAAGTATATTCTAGACGGTAAGTGCAAAGCTCCTGTTTGAAATAAGGTTTAGAGGCTGGAGAGATGGCTCTGTGGTTAAGAACTCCCTTGCAGAAGACCCAGGTACAGTTCCCGGCACCCACATCAACTGGCTTATAATACTCTGTAACTCCTGTTCCAGAGCATCTGACACCCTCTTCTGGCCTTTCTGTCGGCTACATGCATGTGGTGTCCACATATACACTCAGGCACACACATGTACATTTATATTTTGAAAAAATGAAACCAATTTTATGGGGCTGGAGAGATGGATCAGCAGTTAAGAGCACTGGCTGCCTCCCAAAAGACCTACATTCAATTCACAGCTCACAATGATCTGATGGCCTCTTCTGGTCTTTGTGAGCACCAGACACACAAATCGCTAAAAAGGAACAAGTTTTAGGAACAGCAGTGACATGGTGGCTGGTACACAGGAAGAAGGGGAAAGTGGTCTGATAGAAAGCCAGAGAAAGAAAGTACTACATGACCATGAAGAACTGGGTTTGTGTGAATTGCAATATACTTTTGGAACTGACCGGAAGGCTTTAAACAGGGGAGTGATATGATCTGATTTATTTATAGTTTCCAAGGACAAAGCAGTGGTCTAGGCAAGAGATGATGAAGGCACGGATCACAGAAGCAAGGCTGGAAACAAAACAAAACAAAAAACCCCAAAGTGGGATGGACCTCTTTAAATCCCAGAACACTCAGTGGATTCCTGTTACCCCTCACACCTTACAGGTGAGACCCAGAATGTGGTTCCTCAAACAAGAAGGCCCACTTTCAAGTATTCAACATATATCAGACTAAAACTATTCCCCAAAAGATTTAGGTATGCCCCTGGAATGGTCGGGGGGTTGGGAGTTGTCAGGGAAAGGCTAGCTTGGTGCTGTGTGAAGTAACACATCCTTTTGGTGACTTATTTGCTTCAGTGATGGAATATGAATGAAATGAGCCCCAGGAGACTGACAGTAAGTAACACTGGAACGCTAGAATGGGGCCAGGCCGGGCGGTGGCGCACGCCTTTATTCCCAGTGCTTGGGAGGCAGAGGCAGGCGATCTCAGTGAGTTTGAGGCCAGTCTGGTCTACAGATTGAGTGCCAGGACAGGCTCCAAAGCTACACAGAAATCCTGTCTCAAGAAAAAAAAAAAGTTAGAATGGTGAGCAATATGCCCTACCCCAAAGGGGGGGGGGAATCAACCCCTTAACAAGTTTTAGCAAGTTCCTCACATATTTTGTGTCCAAACCCTATTTCTCCCGAATCAAAGAACATATACAGGTTCTACCAAATCAAAGAAACTCAGTGACTAGGCTTGCCAGCTAAGGAAGTCAAATCCTGAGCTAATCTATTCTTTTCCTACAAAGGAGCCACTTTGAGTCCTGGGTGACGTCAGATCAGGTTCCACCCAGACCAATGAGTTCCAAGAGTCCAGTGGCAGGTGACGCCCTAGAAAGAAATTTCTGAGAGGATGAAGTTTCCATGGATAGCGTCGGTGCTCTTCCCTCTGGACTTTGGCTATGGATACTGGGGTAATCCTGGGGTTAGGGACCCACACGTGTCTCTAAGGGAACCTCATGGGAAGCCAAACAGAACAAAGGGCAAACGATCGGCGGTAGTGCAAAGACTTGGGATCCTAAAGGAAGGACACGATGGACAGCGAGAGGGCGAGAAGGCTGGTTTTGGCTAAAAAGGTCAGAAATCGTGAGAGCGATGCTTAGGCTTTACCCAAAGGATTCCCTGTGGGAATGAAGAGCTATCCCACCCCTCTCCTGGCAGTGCAGGGTGCTCTTCTGCCACACCCCTCCTCTCCTGAGATCCGTGTGCCACCCAACCCCAGGGGAGGACCTGAACTCCATCCCCGCGCGCCGTCCCGTGCCTTTTGCCCAGGACTCGGCAGAGCCTGTCCTTCCCCTCTGCATTAGCACGTTGGCTCTCACCGTCGGCGGGGGCGCCTCTCCTCTCAGTGGAACGGCGAGCGGACTCCGTGCGGCCTCTGGCCCGTGGCTGCCTGCAATCCCAGCTGTGAGCTCACGTCCTGCGCCGGCCGACTCCTGAGCTACAACCCAGCCCTACGACTCGAGAAATATACTACAAGACCCGGCATGCACAGCGCGAGCAGGCGGTGGAGTCGGGAATCCGGTTGAGACTTGGCCTTCTTCCGCTTCCGGGTGTGAGGGCAAATCTACTTCCGACGGCCTCCGGCGCAAAGGCTTCTGGGTTTCGTGGGCAGTTGCCGCTCCTCCCGGGTTGCCTCTATTTCCCAGCAGGCACTGCTGGGATGCTACTGGTTCTGGTGTCGGGGTGACGTGTGGCTTAGTAAGTCCTGTATCCGTGGCAGCGGCTGGTTGCGGTTACCGGAGAGAACTTCCCGCCGACAGCCATCTGGGCCGCAGCGCGCCAAGACGGGTCGGCAGGTATGTCGTGATTTGAGGTCGGGGGGACGTGGTGGACTTGGGACTAGAGAAGGCCGACGTGGTCCCGCGATGGGGATTGGCAGGCCCAGGCCGAAAGCCGCGGTTTCCCACCCTCGACATTTTTAGGGAGCCGGTTTACACCCAGCTCAGCCCTAGAGCACGGCTCCCTACGATCTCGCCGGGAAACCGAGGCTCGGACGATTCAGGAGGATAACGTAGTAAAGACAGCCACGAGACAGCCACGTCCTTTGCCCAGTCTTTCCTGACTGTGCCAGCGCCTTCTCCACACTCCACAGCCGCAACTGTTTTTAGTGCCTGGGGATGTGGGAGAGCCAGGCTGGTAGAGCCAGTCACGGTCCTCATGTTTAGGAAACTCAATCCCAGCCGGGCGGTGGTGGCGCCCGCCTTTAATCCCAGCACTCGGGAGGCAGAGGCAGGCGGATCTCTGTGAGTTCGAGACCAGCCTGATCTACAAGATCTAGTTCCAGGACAGCCTCCAAAGCCACAGAGAAACCCTGTCTCGAAAAACCAAAAAAAAAAAAAAAAAAGGAAACTCAATCCTAGGTCCCTGGGACATGTTTGTGGTAGAGGCTGAGGGTGAGGTGGGGATCTCTTAGTCCACTGTGAATCATTTCCCTGCAATGGTTCCCCCTCTTTCTTAAGCATCTCATGAAACTGTGCTTTTCCAGCCATGCACTCGGTCCAGTCCAGACTCATGGCAATCATGTTTGGCTCTTTTCTTCACTTATCTCCAAACTGCTGCATTCAACAGTCTGTTACTAAATTCTGTCGACTTGGGAAACATGTCAGCTGTGATCTCGTCTTCAGCTTCAGGTCTTTGATTCTGTTACAGCCTACTGTTTCCATGTTCATTCATTCTGCAAACATTTACAGAGTGCCGCTTACTTGTAGGCAACCTGCTTAGATGCTAGGCTCACAGTGAAGAATCATCTTTTAGGTGTGCCTCTGTGCTACTACTGTTCCTCCGATTGGCCAAGGCAGTGAGTGATCTTCCCAAATCTGATCGATGAGCACTGCTGGAATCCACTACTAGCTGTTACCACTTTAAAAAAAAAAAAAAATCTGAGTTCATTACTGGGGCTTTCCCAGCATTGAACCACCCAGCTCTAGCCAGTCTAGCCTCGTTGCTCTTGTCGTTTTGATCACAATAGCCTTTGTGCCAAATTCTAGCCTCAGGATCTTCTTATGTGCTTTTCCCTCTGTTCAGAATACCTCTCTCCCTTCTCTTAGATTATTTTGGGCATGTTCAGGTCTCATATTATTTTTTCTGAAGGCTTTTGTTGACCTCTGCCCATTGAGTTATGTTCTCCTGCAGTGGCTTCACGACACTGAGCACTGTTCCATAAATATATAGTTTTATCACAGTGGTTGTTTGCTTACTGTCTGTCTGGAGACATTGTGTTCACTCTGTCCTTGGAGTAGCGATTCCACAGTTTTTTGAATAAATGCATGCAAACTCTGGTGTGTGCACCCTCATATTACACGAATTATTAATAGCACCTTGTTCAGTTAATCCCTGGCAGCTCTTAACTACTCAACTGTTTGTCCAAATAGAACAACACAAAAAGATAGTTGGGTTGGTTTTTGTTTTTGTTGTTTTGGAGACAGGGTCTTATGTAGCACAGTATAGCCTGGAGATCAATCAATATGTAACCCAGGTTGCTCCTAAATTTGTGTCAGTGGTCCTCTGGCATAAGTGCTAGAATTAGAGTCATGCATGACCATAGGTGGCTTTTAACACTATTCCATCTGCTCCCCCAACCCTGCTCCACCCCCCACCCCCGAGACAGGGTTTCTCTGTATTGCTTTGGAGGTTGACCTGGAACTCTGTTGACCAGGCTGGCCTTGAACTCACAGAGATCCACCTGCCTTTGCCTCCCTAGTGCTGGGATTAAAGGCGTGTGCCAGATTTTTTCTTTGTTTTATTTTGGTGGTGTTGTTTGTTTGTTTGTTTGTGTGTATCATTTCGGTGTATACCTTTGAAAAGCCTTTTGGGATGCATAAACGGGGATTTCTAACTATGCTTATGGCTTACAACTTAGGCCAGATGCACCCAAGTGAATTGCTGTTTTCATTTTTTTCCCCTGTTGGCTTAGTGATATTTCTGTAAAATCACTTAATGCAATATAGTTTTTCAGGTTTACATTCTGTTTTCCTCCAGCTAAACTGCTCCAGGGCAGGCACCATGTTGCATTCATCTTTACACCCCAGCATCTAGCAGTGTTGGCATGTAGTAGGCACTCAAGAAATGTATGTTGAATGAACGATGCCTGTGACAAGCAATTGGACTTTATTCTTTCCTGACCCTTGCTCCTATGACATACCTCCTGACTGCCACTGTCACCCCTTCAAAGCAGAACTTCTCTAGGGAGCCTGGAAGGGAAACAGGTGAGGCTGAGAGGTGGAGGTAGAGGGAACAGGGAATATGAGGAGGGCTTGACAATGGTATCTGGGGAGTATGAGGAGGGCTTGACAATGGTATCTGGGGACTGGAGTGGCTGAGGTTGAGCCTGATTTCCTTGGATGTCTGGGATGAAATTCAGGTTGGGGCTGCTTTCTTTACAGCTATGGCCAAGGACATCTTGGGGGAAGCAGGGCTGCACTTTGATGAGCTGAACAAGCTTCGGGTGTTGGACCCAGAGGTTACCCAGCAGACCATAGAGCTCAAGGAAGAGTGTAAGGATTTTGTGGACAGTGAGTATCATTTGAAGACATAGTATCACTCTGCTTTGAGCAAATTCATTACCCCACCTTGACTATTGCTCTTAGGTCTGCCAGAATGGAGTTGCTTGCTACCTGGTCTCTGGGTTCCCATGTGACCCAGCCTTCTCTACTTGCCCTCTTGTGCTGCCATGGAGCTCCGAATTTAGTCTCAAACAATACAGTGGACTAGGGGAGAGGGAGCTATTTTTAGATGAACAACCTTAAAATTGATGATGGAAGAATTATTAATTGGAGGTGGGAAATGGAATTATATATTCTGATTTTATTTCTTGGTAGAATAGTCTTGGTGGCAGGATCTGTGTTACTTGGATTTAGAGGTGGTAACTAAGGTCTCCAGGAGCAGCTCAGCACAGTGGTGACCTTTGGGCTACAAATCTCCAGGAGGCCTTCTTTCCTAGCTGCTAAGACAGCCCAGTGCCAGTGGAAAAGGCCAAATTAAGCTCAAGCATGCCAGGCGGTGGTGGTGCCCGCCTTTAATCCCAGCTCTAGGGAGGCAAAGGCAGGTGGATCTCTGTGAGTTTGAGACCAGCTTGGTCTACAAGAGATAGTTCCAGGACAGACTCCAAAGCCACTGAGAAACCCTGTCTCAACAACAACAAAAAACAAAACAAATTAAGTTGGAGCAAGGGAATTTTCTTTCCCTTTTTTTGAGGGTCTCACTATGTATGTTGTATGTTGGCTTCAAACTCATGATTCCAACTTAGCCTTCCTAGTGCTGGGGCTCCAGCTTGTGTCGCACACTCAGCTGAAGCAAGAGATTTCTGGGCCATGGTTTCATGACAGGTTGCTTGGTGTCTGTTTCCAGTTTAGTGGTTGGTGTATGCTGTGGCCTGCTTCTCTGGCCTTATTTTCATAAAATAAAACAGGGCTCCAACATATCAAGAGTACTGGAAAAAGTGAATGGGAAATGGGGCACCTAAATGATTGATTTGAGCTTTCTACCAGCTAGGTTGCAGGCAGGGATTTTCACACCACCTTTTATTGAAAGCCCTGGAGCTTATGCTCAGAGTCTAGCTCTGTAATGGTCCCTCTTTTCTAGGTGAGACCAGTGGTGGGAGGCTTAGGTTCATATGTACCAGGCTGCTGTAACACAGATTAGAAAGGGCAGTTAGTTCTGCCCTCCCTACTTCAAAGGAATGCTAATAAGAATGTTTTGTTCTTTTCCTTGAAGAAATTGGCCAGTTTCAGAAAATAGTTGGTGGTCTAATTGAGCTTGTTGATCAGCTTGCGAAAGAAGCAGAGAATGAGAAGATGAAGGTAAGATCAGCTGTTGGTCTTTGCCAGGAAACCAGGCCTTGTCTTTATTGTAGGGATGGTAGCCTCATTTATTTAACACGGGAATTTAATAACAGATGCTGGCCTAGTTAACATGGTGAGCTTATATGCCAGTGGTTTTTTTTTTTTTTTTTAAAGATTCATTTCATGTGAATGAATGCTTGTCTGCATGAATGTCTGTGCACATACTTGTGTGTGTCTAGAGGCCAGAAGGTTTCAGATCCTCTGGAACTAGAATTAGAAATATTTGGGTGTGACTTGCTGTTGAGGGCTGGTAATTGAACCTAGGTCCTCTGGAAACACAGCTAGTGCTTTTAATGACTCAGTCATCTCTCCAGTCCTTAGATATCTAGATTGATTTACGTGTATGACTGTTTTGCCTACGTGTGTGTGTGTGTGTGTGTGTGTGTGTGTGTGCGCGTGCGTGCGTGCGTGCGTGCGTGCGTGCGTGCGTGTGTGTGCGCGCGCGCGCCGGGTGTCCGTGCCCTTGGAGGTCAGAGAGGGTATTGGATTCCCTGGAACTGAAGTTATAGATACTGTTTAACCACCATGTGGGTGCCTGCAGAACTGAACTTGGCTCCTCTCCAAGAGCAACCAGTGCTCTTAACCACTGAGTCCTCTCTTCAGTCCACACTTGCCCTTCTTTTGATCTTCATGGTAGTACTAGTGGGTGTTTACCCTCCTTTTATAAACAAAGACATGAAAGATTGCCAGGTACAGATGACTTGGTAAAAGGCATAAGTGATGCCCCACCCCCACCCCCCACTCCCCAGTAGGCCACTACATACACTTGCAGGCCAGAGGACTTCCTTCTGTTATTTTTCACCAGGCACTTTGGGATCAGTGGGTTAATAGTCCTAACCATTAAAACCATGGGGCTCCTTTCTCTCTTCCCTTCCCTAGTGGCCTTTCCCTCTTTGAGTTTAAAACCATGCCTTCTTTGGCAATGCTGTTTCTTAGGCCATCGGTGCTCGGAACTTGCTCAAATCCATAGCAAAGCAGAGAGAAGCCCAACAGCAGCAACTGCAAGCGCTAATAGCAGAAAAGAAAATGCAGTTAGAAAGGTAAGCAGCCACATCAAGCCAGTGCTCAACTGCAGATTCTCATTTTCCTTCTGGATCACCTTGTCTTTCTAAATCATTCCCCAGGTAGAGCATCTCACTGGGTATCCTGAAGCTTTTTAAAAATTACATTTGATATGAAGAAAGTAGGGATTAATTGATTAATTCCAGATGACCTCCCATAGTTTGAGCACTGGTTCCTGTAACAAGGGCTGAGGCCACCTCCGTACCTTCCCTGGGAATGGAGGTTTCTCCTGGATGGCTCTGAGTAGGGCTTTGCTCATTTTATTCTTGCCCTGACTTCGTTCTCAGCTCACTATTTCTTACAACTGTTTAAAGCTCTATACTCTCAAAGAATTGTCCTGTTTTTATTTCATTCTTTTTAGGGCTTCTAACAATTTTGTTTTTCAGGTATCGAGTTGAATATGAAGCTTTGTGTAAAGTAGAAGCAGAACAAAATGAATTTATTGACCAATTTATTTTTCAGAAATGAACTGAAATTTTCATTATTTATAGCAGGAAGGCAAAAAAAAAAAAAAAAAAAAAAAAAAAAAAAAAAAATTCCCAAAAAAAATCAAACAAAATAACCCTTTGTACTATTCCAGTGACTGACTGATGACCAAGTATGTAATGTCAGTGTAAGGAGGCAGTATTCCCATCTGGGGTACCTCTGGGGCAACTGGTAAACAGTGTCTGGCCACTGCTAGTGGCAGGGCAGAGCAGGGCCTCACCTCTTGCATTCTCAGCACAAACTAAACAGCCTGTAAAATTTGACCCATTTTTTTTTTCCCCTCAAAAAGCTCTCAATGAAAAGCAATAAATACCCTTTGCAAATGGTGTGTTCTTTCTTCTTTGGTGCTGTGTACATTACCAGCTCCTCTGAAAATTCAAGTGTTGTAACCCCCATCCACACAACAAACCAGGCAGAGATCAGCAGCTACCTTTATTTGGACCATACACACAAGTCAGACAGTAATAACCAGAGCAATATGGCTTGCAAGCAAAAACACCCACCAACCTTGTTTCTATAAGGAGAGCCAGTGGAACAGCAGACACCCTGGGACAGTCACACTATTACCCCACTCTGAACAGAATGGGAAGGACCAGGCAGAGAGGAAGGATAAAGCTATCTACCAGGGAGCCTACTGGTGTGAGGGGCCAGAGTTGGGAAGTACAAGTACTAGTAGAATAACTGGAAGAATGGATGATGTGTAAATGGTTACCATCTAAACATAACCCATTTCTGGCTTAGGCTTTCGAGTCTACAATATTGTTTTTTCTTCCAGAGGTGGAGGTACAGGCAGGAAATGGTAGCTTTTCATGGACATTTAAAGAGACAAAATTTGTGATATTAAAGTGGCCCAAAACACCCACTACTCATTTGTTGACTAGTGATCAGCTACAGGTTGAGTCAGGATTTAGTCAGGTGTGTGTGTTCTAGGCCACGAACTGACCAGCTTTTTGTCTGCCCATTTTTAGCAATGCTATAGCAGAACTTTGGCACCATTTTGCTGGTCCCCATCCCTGCTGATGGCCTGTTCAGCCCTTCGAAGGTGAGGGCTTGGCGTGTCTTGTGCACTGCTGTTGGTATGTTTCAAATGCTGCTGAGACATGGGTTCAGAGCAGTTTTTCTAGTATTGTCCAAAAGGCAACTGTGCTGTGGGATCTCCCTGGTTGGGCTAGTGGCTGGCCCCTATTTTTTCTTTCTTTTCTCCTCATACTTATAGAAAGGGTTCCGCAACATGAACAGGAGGAGTATAAGGGGGATTATTAGGTAGGGGGCATAGACACCTATGAGGGTCAGTCGTTCACGGAAATTCTCGGGTCCGAGTCCTTTGAAAGCAACAGCTTTGGAGAAATCCTCAAATAGAAATGTATAGAGGATTGGAATTAAAGTTGTTATGGTGTGAACTGCATACATGATTGCAGGGATTCGGATCCACCGGCAATTTCCTGAAGCAGAGGAAGAAAAAAGGACAATTAGGTTAAAACTTAGCTCTGGTGACTCCCAGGGTGTCTGGGACATGCTCCACCCCACCCCTGCTTGTCTGCTCCCTCTCAGCTCAATAGTTCTGACTCCTCTTGGTGGAAAGTCAGACTGCACACATGAAAAACTGGATGTTGCACCAGCTCACTGAGGGTGAGGATTGGCATTTATCTTAGGAAACAGGAGCAGAAAAACAGCTTGGCCAGTCTAATCTAAAACACAGCAAGAAGGGACCCTGCCCCAGCACCCATAAAGGATCCCATACCTATAGGATCCCAGTGGGAAATAGCTTTCCTACTCTACGAGCTTAGTTTCCAAGGATGGGCACTAACTATATGATGGCATGTAGACATTTTTCTTGTAATTTTTAAAAAACTTTTTTTTTTTGGTTTGAGTATTGCCTGCATTCATGTTGTGCATTGTTCCCTGAGGCCAAAAGAGGGTGTTGGATCTTGTGGAACTGGAGTTGTAGATGGTTATAAGCTGCCATGTGGGTGCTGAAAACCAAACTGAGGTCCTTAGAAGAACAGCCCATGTTCTTAACTGCTACACCATCTCTCCAGGCCCAGGAATAATTTTTAAATGAGAAGTTAAGCTCTTCAGGGATTGGCTTGATGCTTCCAGTTTATAAGGCAATATACTCTCCTAAGGCCACAGATAAAAAAAACTATGTGTATATGGTGGGTTAAAAGGAACAAGGTTATCCTTGGCCCCAGGTTTCACATCATGAGGGATTTCTAGATAACTGAGGAAGCTCAGCTGAGCCACATTTAATGTTCCCCTGTGACATCTATGCTAGCGGATGCCAGATTCTTCAAACTACAGGGGTTCACTCCTCCAAGAGATTTCTGAGCAAAACTAAGATTTCCCACACTACCAACCTTTGAAGAAGGCATATGCTGCAACAGGAAAGAAAGGCAGCTGGAACACAAGCTCACAAAATAGGAAGGACTTGAACCACAATGGGGGGTCCTGCATCAGAGGGTCTTTGAACTCCTTGGAGTACCACCGCAACAGATTGCTGAACTGGAAAAAGACAGGATCCTGGTGAGCACTGCCATGTGGCCTACAGATTCAGTGGCTCCAGTGCACCAAGCTCTCCAGTTAAGTGTCCCTCATTGTGCAGCCCTGGTGGCAGCAGTGACATACCCAGCTGGCTCATATGACATCTACACCAGTGTTTCTCAATATTCCTAATGCTGTGACACTTTAATATAATCCCTGAGTTGTGTTGATTCCCAACCATAAAATTATTTCATTGCTACTTTATACTGTAATTTTGCTACTGTTCCAAATCATAATGTAAATATCTGATATATATCTGGTCTCAACCTCTGAGTTGTTTGACCTCCAAAGGGGTCATGACCCACAGGTTGAGAAACACTGGCCTAGATGGTCATTAATAAAAACTTACTAGTCATAATTCAATTGTTACCTTCTTGGCATAGTAAGCTTTCTCCAGCTCTTTCAATCTAGTCTTTGTGTTATTGTGCATTTATTCCTAACTGGAGAGCTATAGTAATTTCCACTTAGGAGCTTCTTGGGATGTTTACTGAGTGAAAATGGCATTCTGCTAACATTTGTTGATAAGGAAATGAAAAACCCATGTTGACATTTTCCCTTTCACAACTGTACATCTAGATTCCTTCAATGCAGAAATCAGTTGAATTTTCTTGGGGTGGGGGTTGAGGTTAGAAGGGAAGTAAATCTGACCTCTGTGGAGACATTATAGATATTTAATATTACAAATACATTTATTTCCACTCACCATCTTCAAATTTTTTTCTTTAGAAGACCAGCTGGGTATTGGTGGAATTACCCCAAAGTACAAAGACAGCATCAGTGTTCTAGTGAGGTCTGAGTTAGCAGTCTGGGTCTAGCCCCAGCCTCACACTTGTAATCAACTTAACAAATCGAAGTATGCAGGACCATACTGACTGGTTACAGGCAGCAGGAGGCGGGAACCTGCAGCTATCCACTCTGTGCTTTACAGGAGCCAAAAGCTAGGGGCATGGGTGCTGCTACCAAAGGCCTGTCAAATTCAGCATCCTGAAGCAAGGTAATCCTCATTTACATAATTGGTCTAAGGCTAACCTGGGCTATAAGAGATGTTGTCTCAAAAATGAAACAAATTAAATGACCAAAAATAGCCTGGCCAAGTGGTGGTGTCGAACGCCTTTAGTCCCAGCACTCAGGAGGCAGAGACAGATCTCTGTGAGGAACTGTCTTGAAAAACCAGGAGGAAGGAAAAAAAAAAGGGGGGCCTGGAAATAACACTAATTCACTCTCAAAGCCAAGTAAGTGTCAGTATATGATAGATAAAGGCAGCTCCAGGGGTTTTATCTTATAATGAAAAATCTAGGGAGATTTTTTTTTGTGTGTTAATTTCTAATCAAAAGATAAAAGGCTGTAGGTAATCCCAGCATTTGGGAAGTGGAGGCAGGAGGATCAGGAGGCTAGGTCTGGGCTACAAACCTATCTCATAAACAAAACACTCAGACTGGAGAGATGGCTCAGAGGTTAAGAGCACTGACTGCTCTTCCAGAGGTCCTGAGTTCAATTCCCAGCAACCACATGGTGGCTCACAACCATCTGTAATGAGATCTGGTGCCCTCTTCTGATGTGCAGATATACATGGAAGCAGAATGTGGTATACATAATAAATAAAATCTTTAAAAAAACAAAACAAAACACTCAAGCATCATCAAAGACAGAGGCTGGCTGCTGAGAAACAGGCCTCATTATCATGAGAGCTTCTAAGCAAGCACCCAAAACCCGGTTGTGCTAGGGTCAGGCTGTCAGCACACACAGCTTTTTGATGTGAAGCTGGATTCTCGACAATACCCTCTGGATCGTTCTGAGCACTCGACAGAACAGGAAGGAGGGGATGGTAGAGGTTAAGTCAGCCTCTCTCAGGCAAGTTAGACTAAATGGTTTTTTCCCTGTGCATTTTTTTTTGTTGTTGTTTTTTTGAGAACAGGGTCTTTTGTACTTGAGACTGGCCTTGAACTCCTGCTCCTCCGCTTCCCAGGTGTTGGGATTACATATGTGCAACACCACACACAGCTTCACATTACAACTACCTGGCAAGATTTACTTTGGAGTAAAGTACTGACAGGCATTTCTGCCCATCTGAATGTCACTGTAAACAATCTGAGGCCAGCCTCCTCCAAAGGTCCAGACTGACATATGCAGTATTGCAGTGCTGAAAGGCTGCAGGGGCCTACCACCTATCTGATTCCTGAAGAGCCTGGACCGAGTGGGTGGAAGATAAGGATGAGGTCCCTGTGGGATGGTAGGACTGCAGGCACTGGAGGCAAAGGGCCTGGCTCTGGGCAAGACCCTTAACACCAGCACACTATTTCTTTATCTGATAAAACAGTGCTGACGACGTACCTTCCTGCTGTTTTCAGATGCAGTGAATGAATACATGTAGCCTGTAGAACACAGCTAATACAGATGAAGTAAGAGTGTGTGTGTATACCCAAAGATGCTTCAGGGTAACATTACCGAATCTAAGCATGCAACTGCTCATGATCATTTAAGTCCTACACCCCAAGGTTTAAAAAAAAAAAGTTTCCATTTACACTACACCCCACCTGGAACACTTTGTCTTTCTGAACTGGTCTACTACTGAAACCTGCAAAACCTCATTTAGGATTAAGACAGATTGCTTTTAGATCTACCGGCTCACATGTTTTTCTTATTTTAACAGAATTGGTTCACTCAGTTGCAAGAGATACTATAAAATGCTTCCTTTCCTTTATGTTTGAACCCAAGCTCAAGTCTTTAACTGTTTCATAATGGTTTTTAGCCCATGTGATTTGATTCAAATAACAAAGTTCAGTTTGCAAAATTCAGCTCAACCACTGAGGCCTTCCACATCTTTAGGGGGAAACCCTAGAGGATGAGTTTTAGCTTTTTCTAATTGTTCTTTTATGGGCTTTGATGTTTGTTTTAGAGACAGTCTTGCTATGTAGCCTACGTTTGCCTTGAACTCAGTCATCCTTGTGTCATAGCCTCCCGAGTGCCACCAAACCAGTTCTAAATTCAGGTATCATTCAAGACAATCTGTGACTGACTTAAGTTCACAGATTATTATTTTCTCCATGGAGAAGCAACAAAACCATCACTTCCCATTTAAAAGAAACAAGAGGAAGCAGGGGATGGGCCTTCCAAGGCAGGGTGCCCCAGGTTTATGCCTTTAATAACCAACAACACAGACCTCCATTTTTTGGTTAGGACATTAAAAAGTCAGGGCCTTTGCTGTCTCAGCTGTACAGGGTTCACAGGCATAAACTGTTCTGCCCAGCTTGGCTTTTTGAGATAGATGTTTCTGTGGGTAAAGTGCTTGGTACACAAACCTGATGACGGAATTCACTATCTAGAACTGCTATAAAGTTGGAAGCTGAGAACTGATCCTAAAAATTATCTTGTGACCTCCACACAGGTATTGCAGCATGTACTCACACACAATAATAATGAAGAAAATTTCAAAAGAGGATAAAGGGGTAGACATGAGATTGGGCATGGTGACAATAAGCCTTGAATTAAGCATTTGGGAGGCAGATGCAGGAAAATTCTGAGTTCAAGGCCAGCCAGGTCTAGATACTGAGTTACAGAACAACTAAAGCTACGGTGAGACCCTGTCTCGAAAAACAAACAAAATAAATGTTTAACTGGTAGTCTGTATGATGCTGGTTAAATTTTAGTTGTCTGGAGGAGTGGTGAGCAGGATGGGGACTAGCAGTTAGGAAAGAAACCAGGAGCTGTCAGGGAAGTAAAGGCAGCTCTTAATAGTAGGGAGACCCTATCTCAAAAAGCCAAGCTGGGCCGAACAGTTTATGCCTGTGAACCCTGTACAGCTGAGACAGCAAATGCTTTGGGTCTGAGGCTAGCCTGGGATAGCATAAGACAACCCCCCTCCCAACCCCCCAATCTTTCTTGTGTTTCTCTGTGTAACCCTGGCTGTCCTGGAACTCAATCTGTAGACCAGGCTGGTCTTGAACCTCCTTGAATGCTGGGATTAAAGGCATGTTGTCACCACCTCTGTTATGACTCCTTTTCAAAAAATTATCAAAATAAAAAAATAATGGCTGAGGGCAGTTCAGTAAGCAAAGCCCTGGGTTTTACCTCCACTGCTACCAAACCCCAAAGAAATGGTAACAGGCTCCCTTTCTTCAGACTAGCTAATAGCTAGTGTAGTTCCAATGGCCTCTTTAGGTTTTCAGGTGCTTCTGTGGCAGCAGACTGATAGTACTCAAGGTATTGTAATTTTAAAAATGCTGCGAAGAAAAGTCTTGTCATACAACAGTCCTCACTTGGGAGGTTTATTGGAAGAGGAGAGAGGAGGGCAGACAGGCCGGCAGAGACCCATCCCTGGGACAAGAGTAGTGGAAGAGAAAGAAGCAGAAAAGGGAGAGGAAGATGGGAGCTGGGCAGGGCCCTTTTAAAAGGGAATGTAGTGAATATGCACAGGTGGTGCTCTTAGTGGCTGCACCTGCAGTCATATCCTGTCAGAACTCCAAAGGCAGGACAGTACAGATGCCTGAATACTAACATCCATGTCCTTATTCATGTCCAACAGGACCACAGATTTATTCAAAGAGAACTTTTCCTGGGTTACATAGTGGGCCTTAAGTGCATTAGGAGTGACCTTATAAAAGACAGAGGGAGATGTGACTAGGGATGGAGTGGCAATGTGGTGGGTGACCTGCAGAGACTCAAAGGGCCACAGCCAAAGGCCAAGGGATAAAAGGGCAGACTGCATGGCAATCCTGAGGTCTTAAGCATAATCCTCAGCTCTGCAAAACAAGCCTCAAGACATTAGCAGCCACCACAAAGTTGCAAGAGGCAAGGAACTTATTCCTCCCTCCAGTCCTGGGATCTACCATTTTAAATTTCTAACTTCCCTCATGCATGCTGGACAAATATTTTACCAAGGAGCTACAACTTCATCGTACAATTTAATTTACAATCTAACCTATTATTTCAAAGCTGTGGCTGCAGGTGGTGCCCTAGTTAATGCCCTCTTGCAATGTACTCAATAAACTGTTATCTTAAGGAAAAAAACTTGGAGTCATAGGGCCCTAAACATGCCAAGATACTCAGCCAGTTCTTGGAAAGACCAAGTGCTCCTGCCACATAATACCTAAAGTTTTCCCATAGAAAAGAAGGTCAAAGGTCTTTCTGGTCATTCTAGTTATGTGGTACCACAAACAAACCAAAATGAGACTTAAGGGAGTGGGGGTGACATTTCTGATTTAGTCACTCCCAACCTTCTTGGGTGGGTGGCACTCTTCCAGTGATGAAAGATATACATATCCCTTCCCCTCAGAGGACACAAGGTACATGCAATTTTCTAGACACCATTGAGAATTCATGAATTTCAGAGGCAAAATCAAACCTTTCTGTTTCGTTTTATTTGAGACAGCGTTTCTTTGAGTAGCCCTGGCTGTCCTCGAACTCAGATCCGCCTGCCTCTGCTTCCCGAGTGCTGGGATTAAAGATGTGCGCCACCACCGCCTAGCAGATCAATTCTTAGGTGGACAAGTCAGTCCTGCCTACAGTTTCATCCACAGTTTGGAGAAGCATGCAAAAATTCCCTGGAAGGTTACGACTCAGGGAGGAAGCGCGGAGGAAGTTTGGATCAAATAATTCAGCTCACGTCCAGCCCAATTCAAACAGCAAACTTGAAAAGGCGGTATTTCCTCACCGCTCCTGATGTCAGATTCAGACCCAGAAGGAGTCTGAATATCACGCAGCACTAACCAAGGACTAAAGCCTTCAGACAGGCTTCATTCTACTCGGGGCTTTTTCTCTGGGGGTTGTTACATTGGACTTTTAAATCCCATCCAAACACAACTTTAACAAAGTCCAACAGGTGACAGACACTGGTTCACCCAGGCAACTTCCCTCAGCCACCCGCCTTAAGTGAAACTGTGGGAGAGAAACACACCCAGAGGACAAAGGTTTGGCGAATAAATGTAGCTCGCACCCAGGACCTTCTGAGTGCTAGGTATGCGTCCTACCACTTGGTTGAGAGGAACAAAGCGTTGGTCTACGGCTTGTGAGAGCCAAGTCAGGCACCGAGCTGACGGGAACCGCGACGGCCACGTGGGAACCCCTGAACCCTCACCTCCTGCGGGTACACTTCGGGCGGCAGCACCACCTGCATGTCGATGAACATCGTGATGGGGATGTGCGAGACAAAGTAGAC